TTCGTAATATTGCTGTACATAAGGTGAGACTTTCAAAATAAACCATCTATCTATCTGTCTGTATCTATCTCAGGCAATTGTGGTCAGTGAAAGCTGAGTTACTCTAAAGACTGAAAAGTTTCAGGGCACGCAGGTGACGTATGTATAAATGACACAGTGAAGAAACAGCTGGTAAACTCAATTTGAATGTCAACGAGAATGTCAATTTCCTCAATGAAATTTGATTGTCAAAGACACAATGATATGAAAGCATCCATCAATATACCTCTGATTATATTACGCCTTATAAAGGAGATAAACATCATGTGTTGGCCAGTTTCCGGCAAGTGCTGAGAGTATTTGAAGACGGGAATTCATTTGGAACCGACGGCATTAGCCAGGAGGTTTCCAAATGAAATTATTCTCTATCCATATTTAGCTCAGCCATGCTTTTAAACGTAAAATATTTTGTTATTTCCAAATTATGTGCTTAAATTCCTCTTCCATCGCCAGCGGCTGAGGGATGGTGTAAATCCAGCTTAGGGGCCCCATGCAGGGAAGCAAATGTACCTGTAAGTCCCATGGTCCCTAGTATGGTGGGATCCTAATTTCAGTTGTTGGCGATCTATATAGCCCGATTTTATGCATTGTGTTGTTTGAAAACGATTTAACATTTTACACTGAACTCCAAACTAGTTTTAGAATCGATTTGTGGATATTCTAATCGTTATACTCGTCCTTCACAGGCAGCTTTTAAATAAGAGGAATACAATTTTGTATTCTTAGTACATAACTTTTTGTCGTCACGGTGTGGCTGAAATATTGCTGATGTGACGCTAAATATTAACTCACCCACTCCACTCAACGTGTTCTGCTTGTAAAAGGAAATATATAAATGTGAGTCCCTAACTTAATTAATATACATAACATTAGCTTCTGAACACCCTGTAATGTCCATGCTGCAGTTTTCTAAAGCAAATCTTTCTTTATCTTGGATTTCCAGCCACTGCCCTTTGGCGGGTGCTGAAGTTGAATATTACGGAATTCCTCGGAAATGTAAATTCAAAAAGAAAATCGCTTTAGAAGACAGGTATTTAGATTTTATGGATCCAGAGCAGCTGCAATTCGTCACAATGCCTGTGTCTATCTGTGTTACGTATTGCAAAGAGTTGGATACCAGTGTTATTTCTACTATTGTTACATTTTAGTTTTATTTTGTAGTGTACTCCACCGTGTACTGCAATACATCCACGTTGTTGGGTTGTTAAATATTTCTTTTCATTCTACCCCTGAGCAGAAAATGGACGCTTCCTTCTAATTGAACCTTCTAGCCGCTTTTATCTGAAAATCTATACAATTGACTCCTACGAAACATAAAGGCGACAGCGTGGAATAGGATACCACACTGGAAAGTCTATTGCTACCTCTTCTGGACATTTCCCATCCACCAGGTAAGCCATATCACAGCAATATGCATCGGGTTAAATAAAGGCAATTACATTATAGGAACTCCCAAGTTTTCAGGAACGCTCAGATATTTTACTGACTTTGGGCTTCCTCCACATCAAGCCAAATACCATTGAGCGATTTCTAATAAAACAAAATAAACTACCAGGCAAAGGAAAGTTATCACTTTGAAGCTATTGTATCAAAACAAAACGATGGTACCGGTTTGAACCCAAGCAGAAAACATTCACAAACACAACATGGTCCTGAAACAACGCAGCTGTCCGGAAACATCGCATTTAAACTGGCGCATTTTCAAACTTGAAAACGTAATTGTGGGACAATGGCCCAAATGGTTGTGGAATAAATGCCGATGTTGACAAAGCAAGCATGCATCTAAACCAAAAAGACCACAACGAATACTGCGTACCGCGACAGGGCGATCTTTGTGGGCCAATGTGGTAGCCGCCATTAAACGTCAGCTTGCAAGGACCTTCAACTGCAGCCAGCTACCATCAGCAAATCTGATAAATACCAGCAAACAAGCGAGACCGGCAGGGACTGGCTCAAGATCGGGAAGACCAAAACGTCACAATATCGGCCGCAGAACGCCAAGATCCGGCAGATCCCACCTCCGAACAGATTCGTGACGGCGACGTCAACGGCGGTAAGCCAGCACTAGACACGCCATCGGCAGACGAACAGTCCTGGACGACTTTGGTATAAAGCAATACGTAACTGTCCGGTGCTACGAA